GCCAATGACAACAGATTTTGTCATCTGAAGCTAGCTCGCAAAAGCTAATGCTAACACTGATAGTCTGTGACTTTGTTGAAAACTCTGTCACCAGTAAACTTTTTATTGTTTTAAGCTATTTTGTTCTCACAATCCATTAGTAGCTTGCCACCCCATATTCTGCCCCCAGGTAGCTCAGATCATCCTCACAACAACTCCTCTCAGTCCTTCACTCATGACTCAAAACCAAAGACGATGGGTTTTGTCAAGTCTTAACTTATACATCTGTTATCTATATCCTCTTCGGTTTTAGTCGGTTGTTTTTATTTCCATTTCTCTTAACTTCCCATCTGTTGTATCTCTATATTATTGTTTTATTTTCTATTTCTCTCATTATTATACCTGTATAGAGGCAGATCCTAACCCATTTGGCTCAACTGGAAATCACTTTGGGTCAACTCCTTGTTTTTAAACTGTACATAAAAAATTGAATTAGCAATTGTCTGACTTAATGAAAACATATACAGTAGCAACATGGTGAATTCTATTCTTTTATGACTCACTTTTTTTTGGTACGATTCACGTTTTTTCTTCTCACGGATGAAGGTTGGAATGACGGTTGGTTGGGGCAACGGGTAACCAGTTATACCGTTTAAGATCCTTGATTGTTTCAACAAATCTACAAAGACAAATTACATCATCCTCCGCTCTAATAAGTTCCGTACACGATATGACAATGAAACCACAGCCTTCATCTAAGAGTATCAAAGCCTATAAAGTGTGTGCTTGAGTAAAACTCAACACAAACAGCATTTTGACATCTCTATGTAAGTAAGTAAGTAAGTAAAATATAATTATAAAGCGCTTTTCACAGACATTAGTCACAAAGTGCTTAACATGAGCAGAATTACAAACATAAAAAGCACAATGTGACCATATAAGGGCCAATAATTTACATTAAAATGCACAAAAACAGAAAGTACAAATGTAAAACATGGTTTAAAAGCAGGCCTATAGGACACAAGTTATTACCCAGACGCCAGTCTTGTGTCTTGAGCTGATTTTTGAATGAGTCCACAGACACAGCAAAACGTAGGGGTGCAGGCAGAGCATTCTTTAGCATTATTAGAATGGACTTTTTCCACCCAAGATAAATCAATTCATAACAGCAAAGAGAGAGAGCGCATATCTTCTCTAATGACCGGGTTACTATGGAAACTATGTTCGATTTAATAGCTCATGACGAAAAAAAAGAAAAGAAGAAGAAAGGTCCCCAGGCTTCACTTTGCTCTTCGACTCGACTTCAAAACAAACCTTTATTCAATTTGTGCACCCTGAGAAACACCTGATAATGTCGAGCCAAGCCCCGCTGTGGTGAGACGAGCAGCATGAAGGAGTAACTTCATAACTGAATCAAACAGAGAGCCAATTGAAACACACACAGCGGCAGTGAGCCACAACGTTTTTTAAAGCACTGGAGCTGTCTCTGCATCCACGCAAGTCACCCCAGCTCAGAGGTCAATACCTGGACGTTTTTATTTTTAAAAATTGAAACGCGTCTTTCTCACAGCGGTGCCTCACTTCCTTGCCCTTTGCACCTGGCCCTAAAACCCACCTAGAGGAGCTTTATGGTGAGAAAATACCCTTCTGATTGACTGCAGGATAGTGGTAGTCCACTCTCATGGCGTGGGTGTGATCATTAATGGTGTGCTAAACCCTGAGGTCAGTCTAGTCTCACGCTGTCAGATCCAGAGGGAGTAATATGTTCACACAGCTCTGCTCCATTACCCATCCGTCTGGAGAGGAAGAACAATGGCTTCTCAATAACTCTCTGTTTCCCTTACATTCATGCCTCTCGCATTCTGCCTCACTGTCTCTGCATCATTAGCTTTCTGCATACAGTATGTCTCGCCTTCGCAACACTAGAAGGTAGGACAAAGAGTGAGAAATTAACACTTCTATTTTTGCAGTCATTATGGTAGAAGTGACGTGGGCATCGCAGTGCTGGAGGTCTCTCATTAATAACCTTATCACACCAGACTAGACTGATGACAGCAGCTGTTATTATCTTAGAAACCATCATAAGGTAGAAATACAAATCACTGTTTATACTTCTTTTTACACTTTTATCAACTATGGCAAAAGTAAAAGAAAAGAAGAGAAATTTGCAGCTGTAAAGTGACTGCTCACACTCATTTTAGTGCTAATTTTGGGCAGAGGTTGTATGACTGCGAGCTTCCCTTCACGCACAAATACTGCTTGAGGTGAAAGAGACACAAGCATGCCGATTTTCTAAAAACAACAGGAAGTTGATTACTGTAGTTTGGCCCACTGATTTGACCCATTTACCAACACAATCAGCAGTTGGCACTGCAGCAGATGCTGTGACACAGAATCATGGTACTTTAAAAACCCTTAGCGCCCGCTTGCCGCAATTTACGTTCAAATTTGCACTGCTTCTCTGAGTCATAACTCGACATAGGCTACTCTTTTGGTGGACCTCATTATCCCAATTTCCATTGCGAACAAACATTCATAAATCTGTTTAGGAATATTAGAAAAGCTGCTACTTGTAATTTTAGAACTACTAGCCTGAGATCACATTTTAAAATGTCCTTCAGTATTAAAATAATCAAGGGATAGTTTTCTGTATATTCATGGATACATTACATTACATTTGTTTAAGCTAAAACAATGTCGCACTCAGCATAACCCACTGAATTCATTGCAACATTATACTTCCTGTTTCTATCCCCCAAAGTATTAGGGTTCCAAAAGTTATAGCATAGTAATCTATCAAATAGAAGTTAGATAAAGAATTGTCTTGAATTTGTCTGGGGGGACCCCTAGTGTCAAATTTCGAAAAACCGCCGTTTCAGTGGATTCTTCACTTGGAGCGGTGCCGCTGAAGTGTAAAAAGCCAAACAAGCCAAAGTCACATACTCAAATACACATTTTTTGGCCTGTCAACGGATTTTGTAGCGAAAGATTGTCACCACGGGCATTCGTATTTCAGTACCACAGCGCAGGATCTACTTCAATTTGCCGTGACGCCGGGTGAAGACTCTGCGAGCGACAGTCCAGTCAAGAGGAAGCTTTGTGGGGAGCTGTGTGAAATTTCAGATGACAGAGAGAGGCCAGAGCTGTGGACAGCTGAGAAATCCTCCTCAGGCATAAATCCTCCAGACATGAAATCCTGTCCACTGCTTGGCTAAGCTATAAATTCCTCTTGGTGGAAACTCCATGTAGTTTGAATTTTTAACATCAAAGCTCTTAAATTGTGAGGACAAAAGGTGGTAAATGATAGTCTTTCGATAATATTTTGATGAACTATCATTTAGAGATAAAAGCAATGAACGTTTGTCAGACAACTATTATTGTACGTGAGTTATTTAGAATTTTAAGACCATTTGACATTAAAAGCTATTATTGTTATACTTCTGCTTCACTACAAGGCAAATATTGTACGGTTTGCTTATGATCACCCTTTTTCGTGAAATATTTTATATAAAATTATACATACTTCATTGGGCCTCAAGCTGTATTTAAATAAAACCTGAGAGGTTTAGAGGGGAAATGTCTCTTTGGTGAACAACTCATAGACATTTGAAATATGACAAGGGACCTCAACTAGACCCTTTTTGGTAAGGTGTCATAAGAGAAAACTACTGATTTAATCTTTTAAGCGATGAGATTAAAGATTTGAATCTCATTTTAAAGCAACTAGTTTCCATAAATGCCAGTTAAATGTAGCCGAGTAAGAAGTAGAATAATTCCCTCAGAGGTGAAGAGGAAATATTGTAAAAATGTACATAGATACATTCCACCACTGCTGATAAGTACATTTTGCTGAAAATACTTCTTTGTGTAAGATTTTGAATGCAGGCCTTTTACTTTTCTAATGAGTACTATGCCACTGTGGTATTTCTACTTTCACTTATGTGGAGAACTGTAATACTTGTTACCTGGTTTTCCACATATGTAATAAATCACATTTTCTCTACAAACCCTAACCCCACCTGGAGCTTTCAGTGCTTGCCGATGCTCATATTTTGCTGCAGTGAGGAAAGCTTGAGCCGAGTAAATATTAGAAAAGAGCTAATTCAATGTGCCTTGAAGCAGCTTCCTGCTATCTCTGGAGTGTTCTGTGCAGACAGGAGCTGAGGGATCCTCTGAGAGGCCACAGAGACGCTGCTCAGTGTGAGTTACTGCAGATAAATTCGAGCAATCAGGGTGCGTGGAAAAGAAATACTCCCAAGAAATTGAAAAGAATTGAAATTGAATCCTGGCCGGAAAGCATGTAAAATGTGCCAAGTATCGGGTGGAGATATACAAAGACTTTAAATTTTAAAAAAAGGAGCAACTCTGGCAGGTGTCTCAAAATGCAAAACCCAGAGATACAGGACTGTATGTTTTCGGTATATTTTTCTTTTCCTCTTCGGTGCCTGTGAAGAGTGCTTGTCAGCATTCTTGGTTCGTCTCTAGGTCTTTGTAAGCTGCTTTTTCCCCAGGAAGCATAATCAAAATGCTGGAAAATAAATAAGGTTGACAGTGCCCTGTTCCTGTTATCTGTTTCATGGTAAAAAAGAAAAAACTCCATAAAGGAAGGTGCCTGACACCTTGGTTCTACTCCCGTGTATTTTTTGGCTAAATCAAAGCGATTATGTGTTTTTTGTTCTTAGTATTTGTCCGACTATAATTACATTTCCCTCTAATGTCATGGAAAATCATCTTCGTCTGTGTGCATGAGTGCATAGTCACATTTCAATTCGGTTTACATAAATATGGTTTCCTTATCCCTGGGCTGAACTGAAGACTAATGGAAGTTACTTAAATATTTATGAAACACATCTCCCAGTATACTATCGCTGTCCTTATATAAAACCCACCGATATAGCACCAGAAGAATCATGACCTAATAGACCGTCTCTCTCTTTCTCTCCTCTCTCACCCTCGTTATCACCATCTGTTTGTCCATATTGTGTGATCCTCTGTTTCGGGTTCCCGTGGCTCGCCACCAGGCGCTTCTTTTGGCCTCTTCCTCGGCGTGTTCGTGGTCTGCGGCCTGGCTCTGCTGGGCCTTCTTACATTCATCTCTTGGAAGCGGTGCCGTGTGCCTCGGCGAACAAAGGCCCATTTCCCCAGTCCGTCCCTCACCCCGGCCTGTGACCCAGAGGACCGCTCGCTCCGGTCACCTCTCCGTCTGCCCAGCCCCCAGCAGCCACCGGTGGTCACCATGGCGACAGAGAAGGTGAAGGACCCCATGGGTTCAATGGGTTTCCTGGAGGCAGCTGTAAAGATAAGCCATACATCTCCCGACATCCCCACCGATGTGCAGCTCTCCATGAGGGAGCACTTCCTGCGCCGCACGCAACGCATGCAGAGGCAAACCACTGAGCCGGCTTCCTCCACTCGGTTAGTCATACACACGCATGTAAGGCTCTGTGCTGTGGTTATTGGTGTGTAAATATGCTTAGGGATACATATATGCATGCTGACATTGGGCAGAGTTTACGACACAAAGACATGCGGTACAAAAGGTCGATTAATCCAAAATGAAATAAAGAAAAAATATGCAAATCAAAAAGCACCTCACCGCTCGGACATTTTAAGTAAGTAGGCACGAAATACATTTAAATTTTACATCTCGGCAATATGGTAGCAAAAAAGTTAATTATATTAAATATTGTAGATTGTGTTGCCTCAGAGGCCTCTCTTTGTATGTCATAATGGTAAGGCTAATTAATGGTTTCTTCATGAGAATTAATAGAACAGACGGGAGATAAAAAAACATTTTGCTGTAGTAATACTAGCAGAACTGCACGTTTTCATCATGTTAATAAGTGGACATCTGGAGTCCATTCTGCTTAATATGCAGCTAGACTTTTAATAAAAGCACACTTATTTGTCCTTAGAATAAAGCAGAAAAATTGAAATTTAGGGTCCTGACACAACAAAGCATTGCTCACCCCCTGGTGCTCTTGTTGTTATTTCATACAATTAGGGCAGTTTTATCTTGACTTGAATTTCTATAATTCACATTGTTCTTAATCTGTATTCCAAGCATACAACAACATTTCAACAGTGGCATGAGAATAGTATGCTAGTTTTCTAGGAAAATAGTTTTCATACATTTAAAAGAAAACAATATAAACACAAGCCATGCACAGGTCACTCGTTTTTTCCCCCCATTCACACAGGAAATAACGTAGCTAGCCGTTAGCTGTTGTCTTTGATCGATTGCAACTTTAATAGAAGAAGTCAGGTGATAGAGGTGACACAATCCATCACCCTTAGTCAGTGCTGGCTCTTAGAGGTCAGCTTGGTGTGTCTAGGCATTTGCATTTAAAACCTCCCTCCCTCGAATTCAAAACCTCCAAGTTCAGGGTTCTCCTGCTCGTCTTCACAGCTCTTCAAAACATCCCACAAATCATTCCCTGTCAGTCACTCCTCTTTTCTTTCTTCTTGTCTCTTCTGTCCCTGCAGGCACAATTCCTTCAAAAGGCAGATGCAGGTATGCAGTCTAGACCTGGGAAATGACTACGTAGTCGACGATGAAAAGTCAACCAGCATCGGCCGTATTCAGCCAGAGCTCTACCAACAGAAGGCCCTCGAATCAGAGGATTCATCCAAGAACGGCAGCAGCAAAAACTGTGGCAGGATTAACTTCTCTCTGAAGTACGACTACGAAAACGAGGCCCTCATAGTCAACATTCTCAGGGCAGCAGACCTACCTGCCAAGGACTTATGTGGCACTTCTGACCCTTACGTGAAGGTCTACCTGCTGCCCGACCGCAAAAAGTTCCAGACTCGCGTCCACCGGAAGACGCTCAACCCCACATTCGATGAGAGTTTCCAGTTTCCTGTGCCTTACGATGAGCTAGCGGTCAGGAAGCTCCATATGAGCGTCTTTGACTTTGACCGGTTTTCAAGGCATGATATGATCGGTGAGGTGGTGCTGGACAACTTGTTTGAGACATCGGACCTCTCCAGGGAGACGAACATATGGAGGGAAATCCAATATGCCACCAGTGTAAGAATCTATTCCCCTTCTCTATTTCTTCTAGATTCAGTATCAAATGACTAATTGTATAAACGCAATTATATTGAATTCATCTATCGTAGACTGGTGAGTTCAAGTTCACTTTACGCATTACAATCTATGTGAGTTACATTTTCAGCACACTGCGGTCATGTCCACTGGAAAAATTCTGGAAATTGTTTTAATATTAGCTGAGTATTACTTTACAATTTGTAGCAAAAAACGCAATTTTGACCGAATCCTGGGATTTAAAAATACATTTTCTGCAACTTGCTTTTTGCTCATAATAGAATTACACAAGGTAATGCGGCTTTTCTCTCTTTTTAGTCCACATTGTTAAAGACACAGCCGTCTTGTTTGAATAAACTGTATCTGGCATGTCACAGGACAAAAGTGACATTAGGTACGGTGCATGTAGAATGTACATTCTACAGTTAAAACTTGCAGTACTTTACAGATTGATTCCAGTTCTTCTAGACTAAATGGTTGATACTGTTGTGGCGGCGCAACGGCCACTGAAAGCAGCGTTTGGACAGTTTGGTATTTTTCTTACTTTGAAATTCTATTTGTCCCTCTGTGTGTTATTTTGGTGCTCGGCACTCATGTTTAATCTGTACAATATAAGTTTTTGGTGGAAATTGGATCCTATACATTGTGTTGAGAATAGACATCTCAGAACTAGGATTGCTTCTGGCTCAAAGTCACTCTGTTGTGCTACTGCCAATTTATAGAAGAGTAGTGATGACAAAAAGTAAGAAAATGATGGCTGGTAGTGGGTTGTTTGAGGCTTACCTTAAGTTGGCATCAGCAGCTGGCTCAAGCATAGGTCTGGAGTGGTTAACCCAAGGGGTGTTCGTCAAAGACTTCTTCTTCAAGTTCTGTTGTTTGTAGTTTGTCCAATTGCCTCAAGGCAGTCGGCTTGACAGCAGGCTTTCAGTCCAACAGTAGCTCCACAAAGCTACCAGCTAGCCAACAAACACAAAAGGAAAGTGATGTTAGTTTCGTGTCATTTGTTGAGCCGTTTGTTGTCGAGCTTTACTGTGAATAGCCCAATTGTTTCAGAGCAATGAGACCATAGTTGTGACTTGCTGAGAGTGTCTCTATTGATCACCACATCCACAAGCTACATTAAATGTCAACTAGCCCTTGCTAGATTCATGCGCTGTTGCACATGAATCATAATAGCAAGTGCACTTGGAGATGAGAAATTGTCACTGCTTTTAGGCCAATAACTGAATAATCTGCATTCCCTCACCTGATTTTTTACATACATTTTTCAAGAAAATATAATTCAACAATGAATTTATTACATAAAATGCAAACAATAAAAAAAGAGATTTATAGACCTTTGTTCGACAAACATTTTCTGAGAGCTGTAAGGGGTGAATTAGGGTAATTTAAATCCTGTCTACAGCCCTGTACTGTGCATTAAACATCAAATGTATTATCAAAAAGCTGATACATACTTCCATTTTTTATTCTACAAAACAAAATAGTCACTTCTTAAAATACAGAAAGGGACTGGCTGTTGTCATGAGGCATTAACATCTCAAACACGGAAGGATAATTATTTTGTCTTTGTTAATGATGTCCAGCGGCTATTTTCAGAAACAAAGTGTTCTCTCTGGTACCATGCTCGGCACCTTACAGCCCTCATCACTTTATCACCTCCGCAGAGTCCTTTAATCGGAGAGTTTCCCCTCCTCCAGTTGTTGAACTTGAGCTTCTTCAAGGGTTGTTCAATAATATCAACATTATTGCTTAGAATGCAGAAAAGCAGAGAGGCCCTCTCCTTGGCACACAAACTTTATTGAACCACCAAATGATTTTATGACAACATCCCTTGCTCACATTAAATCCAAGATTGGCAACATAGAGGATTCACAGATGGCAGGGTTCAGCAGAAACAAAAAAAACAAACATGAAGTGGAGTGTAATGGAAGGCTTGTTGAAGATAAAGATCCTGCTTTACAAACACTGATAACTCTCAGTGAGTGGAAGCGACTCGAGTATTTAGCAGAGGGTGAGATGGTGAATTAAAAGAGCCAGCAGCTTTCCTCAGTTCATAGATCAAGGAGAGATAATTATCAATTACCTAGCATTACCAAGAAAAAGAGTCCGGAGGAGAACAGTTTACTTATTGACTTCAGATTTCTCACGTATGTTCGATCTCAATAAATTATGTCGGGGAAGGTTTTAACAAGCTAATCAGTGGCTTGAATGGAGGGGATTATTTACCTTGTAGAAGTGTCGAAAAACCAAACCAAGACATAGTTATTCTTCGTAATAGTGAATAATAAATAAAGCAATAAGAACGCAAATACAGTCAGTGACAAATATGTAATTGACTGCTAGCAGCTAAATGCTAATGTCACTGTGCAAACATGCTAAAGTTGAGCAGTTTACTGTCTTGGTGTGTAAAAATGCTAACATTTGCTAATCAGCACTAAACTCCATATGCAGTTTTGTATGCCCTGATGGCGGTGCATGATGAAAAGTCAGGAGATAACCAAAGTTATTTCAATTCAAAGTTATTATAATTAAGTTACATTGATGTCTGTACCACATTTCATGGCAATCCATCCAGTTGTCGAGATATTTCACTCAAAACTACAAATAATGAAGCCTGCTAACATTGGCTAATTAGCACTAAACACAAAGTACAACTGAGGCTGACAGGAGTATAATTTTGTAAGCAATCAAGTCATAAACAAAAGCATTGGAAAATTATATTTTGACCTGATGATGAAGCTAGATGTTGACTTAAGATATCACCAAATTTAGTACAATTCATCCAGAGGGGGACATGATCATCCAGGTTTCAAGGCAAGCTATCCAATAGTCAAGATCCAAATAATACCCAAAAATGTCACCCTCATGGTGGCACTAGAGTGAAACCTATGGCATACTCAGAATCATTAGGATACATCCTGGAGCCACAAATGACTGTAGGAAATTTAGTATCTGTAAGATATAAGATATTTCATTGGATAAGTTTGGCGCTATGGGGAAAAGTGAATCAGGACTTCATCCTCTGGGGAACATCAATCTGTCCAAATTGTTTTTATTTTATATATAATTATAGATATTGATATTTCAGTCTGTGTGGTGGACTGGCCCGACGACCGATCGACAGACTACCATCATTGGAGCTGCTAGCGTGGCTAAAATATGATTATTGTAAGAACAGATGATACGGACTGGCATCAAAATAGCCTGTGTTTCTACAAGAATAATCATAGTGTCACTTCATACTTTTACAACACTTGACATTTCCGCTGCGCTCTCACATTATGGCTGAACCTTCACACCCTTCAAACGAAATCCCTCACTTCCACAGCAGAGAAAGACAAATTGCAGCTTGTATGTGTGAGGAGACGTTAAGACTGCAGCGCTCAGATAGGCGTTCTCACCAAGTTCATTCATGGTGATTAGGGGTCTGTGCGACCTTAATTATGTTGGATGGGGCTAAGAACTCACATGTTACAGATAACAGGACTCTCATCAGCTCAGTGGGGACTCACACAGTACTGTGTGAGCTAATATTTTAGTGGGCAGGTTGTGCTTGTCTCAAAAGTCATTTTCGAGTATATAAAATGAGGGATCTTGTTGATTTAATTCTCAAAAAAAATATTTGAGGATTCACTCATTATGCGGGTTACATTATGTTAAAGTGCTGAGTTATAAATTGTATTTCCTCTCTGTTTTTGTAATTTTCTGTTGATGAAATCCGCTCCTCTGGCAAAAGAGTTGCTCAGGAGGTCGGCCAGAAGTTCAGAATGAAACCAATTTGTTTCAAGGAGACACTAATGCTAAATAACCTCAAGGACTTTAAGTGAAGCCCAGTTGTTCAGCTTCCTTTTCTCACTTAAACTGCTGCTGATGGTAAGACCTGTGGCACCTTTCACTTTGATTTATTTCCTTAACAAAGGAAACACTCAGGACATTTTCTGTTATAACTAAGATTATTTCAGATTTATATTTCTTTGTACAATTTTACAATTAAGTCATCAAGAAATGTAAGTCAGAAGAATAATCTCTTTTCTGTGCAAAAGCTATGGAGGGAGAGTTGGGAGGTGATTAGCTTAGCCTAGCATAAAGACTGAGCAGGGGTAAGCAGCTAGCCCGGCTCCCTCAAAGGCTAAAGTGTAGCCACCAAAGGTAGAAAATTCACTTTAATATACTTTTGGTTTTATGATGGCGTCACATAGTTCAGCATTAGATGGAGAACTTATTTCGATACAGCCAATAAAATCTTGGCTAGAGCAGTAACATCAGTGTTAGGCAGAGCAGACGGTCCCACTGAGCCACACAGCAGCCTGTGACACAAGACAGGAGGCACAGGCTTTTAACAACAACACACATTAGCTTTCCTGTTTCAGTATTCTTCTCATCCAATTTACAAACATGAACACAATTCCTGTGCTGCACCGTAGCTTACTGAACGAGCGGCCAAACAAACATCCACCAGAGAACAGTTCACTGCTACAGTGAAGGCTAGACAGCTAATTAGCTGCTCAGCAACAACACATTAAATAGCATGTATATGCACCTTTAAATGTCACTTTGGCCCTTTTAATGCTGGTGTGGCCCTCACTCTGAGTGCTGGTTCTCCAGCTGCCTGCTAGCTGCTGTCAATCAAACCCAGACACTGACACGCCCCTCCAGTCGGCTGAGAAGAAAAGGGGCACTTCTGATGTTTTCTCACAATCTTTTTTTTTTAAATAGTAAAAACAATACATTTAAAAAGCATGAAGACATTACTTTTGACTACCAAAAGGATGTACTAACTGTGATTTCCGAACCTCATTTGTGACTCCTCTGTGACGTTGAATCTTATTTGTTTAATCACAAACGGAAATAAAAAAACGACCTTTGCTTATTCGCGGTGTTGCACCATGATGAAAAAGAAAAGAGCTTTCTTTGCGCAAAATGTCTTTGAACTGAGTGCTTATAACATCTCCATCGTCAACACATCTTCTTGTCTAAAGCTCTGCAGAGAAAGTGTATTTTATTGTCCTGGGTTCTAAAATGACAGAAAAACAATTCATTCTCTAAGCAGCACTGTGGTTCACAACAAAAAATATCCATTTGTCTTTCAACATAACTCTCTTCTGTGCCTGCTCTAAAAACACAGCTGCAGTTACTAAACAACAAACTCATAATGCAGTTATTTTTCAAACCAACAATGCCTAGAGAAGTTGCATTATTTAGCTTTAGACACCTTTGTGTGTAGTCTGTGCTCGAATTAGCCAGTTTAGCAGTCTCAGCTGTGAGAATGCAGTTTTATTACTTGTGGTAACAAGAGGCCACCATAAAATGTACCATGATTTTGCAATTTCACAATCATTTTGAGCTTGGATAACAGATTACCCAGCAGAACATTATGTAGTTATTTATTTGTTAGTCTTCACTGACTGACATTTATTTTGCAGCTTGAGTTACTTTGCAGATTTAGATTATTAAAACAAAATATAAACCAATTCATAATTTATAATATATTATTAAAGGTTAAGCTCCCCAGCTGTAAATAAAGTAGTTAAAATCATTAGCCCTAGATTTACAAGCTTTATCGTTAAAGTGACAAGCGCAGGAATGTATCACTAACTATAATCCATTAATATAATAATTCTACAGAATGAGTACTTTTACTTTTGGTACTTTAAGTATATGTAAGTGTTTGAATGCAGGACCTTTTGTAGTTTCACATTAGTATTCTGTAATACTACTACACTGTAAAATATCAGAGTACTTCTTCAACCACTGGTCTTCACTTTCTGTTTGCTCTCACGTTACAAAAAGCAGACTTTAGGCAAAATACAGAATTAATCCCAGAAACATACCTTAAGGATGATATTCTTATTGTGCATTACTCTGGATCAAAGCATCTGTGTTGAATGTAAATGTGAAACTGAAAGAGATTTTTTTTTTTGCTTGTGTGTGTGTTTTTCACAGGAAAGTGTTGATCTTGGGGAGGTCATGTTCTCACTATGCTACCTGCCCACCGCAGGCAGACTCACACTTACTGTCATCAAGTGCAGGAACCTCAAGGCCATGGACATCACTGGATACTCAGGTGTGTGTGTGTGTGTGTGTGTGTGTGTGTGTGTGTTTAACTGTATGTGCTTGGGCTTGCATTAGTGTGATTCACTTACAGCTGCAGTGGCTCAACATGAATCAACTGAATATCCAATTGTAAGCGTGTCAGATAATGTGCAGAAACAGAGTCGCCTCTACAGCGGTGTGCTGTTTATTTCAGCAGTTATTAATAATCAACACTTGCAATATTAAGACATTGTCAGCAAATAGTTGCAGGCAGTCGGTTTTCCTTTCCACTTTTCCGGCAATACTGATATCACTTGTAAAAGGTTACATTTATTGTGCATTAAATGCAAGGGTTCAGGTGTGATTCGGAGTGAATGTGGCGTTTTCTTACTCCTGTGTTTAATGACGATTTAAATGAGAGACACAATTTTAATCCCCTGAGTTTTGAGGGGTTTAGCTGTGTGCCATTACTGTAAAACTGTAGCTATCAAATTGTGCCTTCCAGCATATTAGGCTGCAAAGCAAGCACTCTTGTTTGTCGTTTATAGATTTAGGGCAGCTAACATCTGACTAAAACGTGGCATAATGGATCATACGAGGCGATTTGTTACTGACGGATGAAGATTAAAATCAGCATTCATCAGGAAGCTTTCTCAGTCATGCTGTTTAAACTATCTATGTCCTCTCGCCCTTTGTGTTTACACAAGCCGTTGACGCATCTACTTTTATGGACATTACCGATGCCAGGTCCTCAAGGGTTGCTTTCATGCTTAAGTAGAAAAAACACACACACACACATATACACAGACACTGGGTGATGAAATATGCCACTGATGGCTTAATCTTCACAGACATCTTTGAAGATGATTTAGCAGCCACGGCAAATATTTGTAAAACCTCTGTTTCTCGCTCTGGGAGTTTCTATTCAACCTTCAACTTAGTTGAAGTCACTTATTTTATGTTCTTCCTCTTACCGCCATTAGATCCCTACGTCAAGGTGTCGCTCATATGTGACGGGAGACGTTTGAAAAAGAAGAAGACGAGCATAAAAAAGAACACTCTGAATCCCACCTACAATGAGGCCATCATCTTTGACATCCCGCCAGACAGTATGGACCATGTCAGCCTGCACATCTCTGTCATGGACTACGACTTGTACGTACAATCCAAACATCTAACTTCACACCAATGGATCAGGACAATAAATGTAATGTTAGAAAGTCCCCGCTATCGAAAATCGATTTGCTTGTTGTTGACACACTTGGAGAATCTTCACTGTGCAGAATAATGTTTTCGCAGAGAAGTCGGTTTTCAAATTGAAATGCCAAAGATTGAAATTTGAAATACCCAGTGCAGACACACTGAAAATGGACCTTTAAGAACCACCAGAGGCGTGTGGCGGTGTCTAGAGACCCAGCCCTCTGCCTGTATTTTCTCTTTTTATTTTGCTGTGTTGGGGAGATTATGGGCATCATCACTCCTCTACAATCCAAATATAGTCACTTCTGTTCACTAGTTGCAAAAAAACAAGATGGGGATGCCCCAAAATCCAAGATGGCGACAGCCAAAATGCCAAAACCGCAGTCCACAAACCAATGGGTGATGTCACAATGAATATGCCTACTTCTTACAGTCTATGATAAAAACGTAGCGACCAGGTGCCAGATTGTAAGCAAGCATGAAAGAGGAAGCTGCAAAAAATGGTAAAAAAAATGCAGAAAAAAACACAACCAAGTGGACAAAAGCTTGTTGCATATCTACATCGGATCTGGGTTTGTCTTTGAGAGCTGGAGAGGAGGAGCCAACTTTGAATGTTGTGTTTACAAACCGCAATTGACAAATCTCATTGTGCCTTTAAACACGAACAATATTTGCATTTTCGTAGATACTGAATTTTTGTGTGTGGAATAAACACATCAGACACAAATTATCATTGAAAGTGATTATTATATAGGTCTGTAGGGGATCTTTAATGAAAAACAATTGATTATTCCTCATTTTCAAATTAGAGTCAGTTAAATTATACTTCTTCCGAGAAAGAGTAGTGCACTATACGGCACCATTTTAGTATGTGAAGCTATAACAGGAAATGGAAAAAGGGAAGAAGTGTATGCAGTGCAGACGGCTGACAGAATGAGAGCATGCATGCTAAAGGTCAGTCTGTTTTTTTTACTGTGTAGTATAAAAGGACAAGACGCTGTTTAGAAACCTAGCCTCTTTGTGTGTTCTTTACTGCCTGCTCTCATGCCAGGATTAAATAAGGTTTCAATTACACTTCAGGCATTGTTAATGGAGCAAAGATCTCCTCCCTAAGATGAGTCAATTCTAGTGTCACGAAGACAATCAGCTGCAGGTTCACTGTATCAAATCGGCAGGACAGCCAGATTCAGATCTGTGTCTCCTTTTATTACAAAAATGCCCTTCTTGCAATTAGGAGGGGGAAAAAACAATTTGATGTATGAGATGTCTTGTCAGGTTAAGTCAGATCTATTCATACAGTACGTGTGTGTCCCCACAGGGTAGGTCATAATGAGATCATTGGTGTGATGAGGGTTGGCTGCCATGCCGAGGGACTTGGCAGGGACCACTGGAACGAAATGCTGGCTTATCCACGCAAGCCCATTGCTCACTGGCACCCCCTGCTGGAGTCCAAGAAGTCTGAGAAGGAGGTAGGTTCCGCACTGGAGTCATTTTACTGGATCATGTAGGATGAGGAATCACGGGCTGAGATGGTAATGTTCTGCTCCAGCAGTTTCAATCAAACTGTGAGGGCAGGTTAGGGGGCCAACAACAGCATGTAGAGTTTAAGGAACGAGTGCATACTTGTGGTAATTATTGTAGCTTGACCGCTTAATTACTTAATTAATACAGTCAACAGTTGCAGCGGCAACAATGGCTGTCAAACAGCTCATGATGCCAATTAAGGTAGTTGCGTCAAAAACCGGACTCTTTTCTCATCATCAATAAGTACATTTCAGACAAAAGCTGCTTATAGCTAATTCGGCATACTATTAATGGTGCCAAGTGTCTACAATCTAAACAAAACGTGGCTCAAGTTGTAGCCATACATCCATGTTTGTAGCCCACACCATAATCTGCATGCTCCACGGAAACTTTATACTTCCTGTTTACATCCCCCGAAGCATTATGGGAATTCCAACAGAAGCACGTCAATTATAATATATCTACATCTATATAGATAACTTTAAAATGTTCTATTTGTTTGTTTATTTGTGTACTTATTTATTCTCTATTCTGCATTTATATTTAGATGCGCTTATTTTTGATGTTATTGTTATTTTGGTATTATATAAATCCAAGACAGAGAGGTTGATAAAATCATACCTGTGTTATTGATGAGATGTAATGCGGGTATCTTGTCGATATATTAATTATTCAGTCTTTGTTCCTTGTATCGGTGCTTTCAGTCTCTTTTGTGTTGAGTGTGCTGATCCAAAGGTCTGGACCCAAGCAATTATTTTCCTGTACCCTCATAAATCGGAATATTAAATCCCCAAAAGAGTGCTGATCAGTGCTGTAAAAAAAGAAAGAAGCAGCATGTGTGTCATGAATCATTTCCATGTGTCTTTGTGTCCTGCAGTGGAAGGCGAGGACAGCCAGCTTTGACAGCCAAGGCTCATGCCCTTCACCCAGGCCCCCTGCTAGTCCCTGAGCAGAGCCACCTGTGACCCAGCAGCCCAGAAGGGGGTTTCCTCCCTCCTGCTGATCCACTTCCTGTCTGTCTGATTGAGCAGAACACAACCCCACTGTCACTCCCTCTCTCTCTCACTATCCCTCCCTTCCCAGAGCACTCCCAGGAACTGATCTAGGACCACAGTCAAGTCAGTTAGTTGTGCTAAGTGCAGTCTTTTGGGGTTTCAGGGTTTGAAATGTGGGTGTTGTGATGAACCAGAGCTGCCATTGTTGTCCTCAGAAGAGATTGGCTGGACATCCAGTATGCAGACACTTCAAATTGAGCTGTCCGAGCTGAGTTGAACGAATCTTGGTGTTCTCATGTGGAGACGCTGAAGATTTAGCTTTTTGCCGCAGAGACTCTTTGTTAGAATGACTTGGACATCAGATATTGCTCCACGAGAGCAGCAGAAGTTTCACAGCGGAGGCAACATCTGGGGTAGAAAAAGAGACTTAAACTGGATCTGAAGCAATTTCAAATCTCTCCAGCTTTCTCTTATTGAATTTTAAAGCTGCTGTATTAGCAGAAAAAAACCCAATACTGAACTGTAGCATTTTGGAACTATTAGATGTAAAACCACTCCATTCGTCGTTATTGTTTATGAACAGCAAAACTGAAATGAATTTCAAAGCTCCGCCTGAGTTCACTCTACTTCCTGTGTCATCAAGAACATAAGCAATTATCTGATCCGAAGCTCACTGAGGTGAGGTTGGATCAGCAGAAACTAAAATATTCTCATCTAGACAATTTGCAACTTTAGTGTGATTTCTCGAGCAGCCAAGACAAGTAGTTGTATGTAAAGAGAAATGAATAACAAAATTATTGGTATTCACATGAGAGCAAATTGAGTGCAGTGTTAAGGTGTACAAGTTTAATCACCTGATAAAGGCACAAATGGTCATTGAACACCAACTATAAAGAAAGGGTTAAAAAAAACATTAACAGAAACAAGCTTTTTCTCAATGGAGCTCTGTAAACAGGGAACCTGTGAGCACACTTAACGCACCCTTACCTCTTTCTCTGTTTCATGTTTGCTTTGGCGCAATCTCACGCTTTTCTTCCAAATGAAAGCAGACAAACACTGTTCAAAAGCACTTCTTTGTCTCTCTAGTTCTTTTTTTGTCAATAGGTTTTGATGGATGTCTATAGTTTCATGTACAGACGTCTGCCGGTTACTGTATGTATGTTTTGTTTTTCGAAGCAGAAAAGCAGAAAATATATTAAAAGGAAAAAAAAAAAAAAAGAGTACCGACATTTTGAATATATTTAGCTTTGTTGGTGGTGATTATTGAGAATAACCTAAACTCTGAAAAAGGTGAACATATTCGTCTTTTGAACTTCGAAACATGCAACTTTCTTGATGTTTATGTCATTAATCATACTGTTGCCAGCAATATGTGGATAATAGATTTTTTTTTTGTAGATATTTGATGTGATTAAGAAAAAGACTGCAGCACCGCTGTTGTATCATCTTGCACCAGTATAATTCCTCTATGCTGGTGCAGGATCGGGTCCCTGCATAATATTTGCTCTCTTTACAATAATTAGAAGTTTTAATAAAGTATAATATGCACAAAATTGCAGTTAAGGCAAGGATAACTGATGCTGTATCTGCTCAGATGAAAAAAAGTAATGCATCAATAGCTTTTAATTAAAATATTACATAATTGAGGTTCCACATCTTTACAATGAGAATAAAACATAATCATTTGGTTTTCTATTTACAGGATTTTCCTCCAGTAGCAGTAGTTTTGTTTTGCTGGAATTGGCAAGCACAGATAACATCACTTTCATTCGGGCCAGGAAATCTTGAGCTACGGAGTCAAATGTGATATCAGGCAGGAAAACTGCCACGAAACATTCACAGATAGAGGCCCATTTACTGAATAGTGTCCGTATTATCTCAAACAGCAACTTAAATCTGATATGTAAGAATGTTCTTGGCCGTGGCTTAGACTGGTCTAGACCTCTGGTGCCTCACCGGAGGACAAGCGATATTACAACTGAAACATACGATGAACATGCTATATACAGTATATAACACAGTTTGGGAAATTAGGGGCCAGACATCAAGACATGAGCAGATGCATTCAGCAGACCCAGCTGGATCTGTTTTAGCCATTTCCTTTATGGGTAAGTGTACCCAGAGAGAGCTGTTTAGTACCTCAGTGTGTGTATGTTTATCAGACGACAGCGCGGGGGCAGCTGATGGGTGGACGGGTCAGCGTCTACAGAGCAGTCGCATTTCTCTAATTGGCACTTGTTATAGCGAGAACGAGTCAGTGCATTATTGTTCATGCTTGACGTAATCCATCATAGCATAGACACCCCTCCACGACAGTGTGAAATTTGCTCTCATTCACAGTTATTTTGATGGTGAAATTCCTCCCTAATGGCATTATTCATAGATTTCTAATATCTTATTTTAGTGTTGAAACAGTGTTTTAAACATGTGCTTTACAAAGGTCATATTTCTTTGACAATGTGGTGTGTTTTCATCGTAGAAGAAACCTGTTAAATCAATTGCCTCAGTTTATGGAGTCTTTCAAGACCTGCTAGCTTTGCCTAATATTGTAATGTTTCTTGATATAATCTTGTACTCCTTCCAGCTGTTATGATAGCACTGAATTTCCAATTTTTTATTGAACATTTTGTATTTGTAATAATAGAAATGATTGAGAAAATGTTCTGGTGACTGACATCAACAGTTGTTAGTGGAGGCAAGTCTATTACGAGTTCCTAGATCATTATGAAGACTCTCAACATGAGTGACCCAGTGTGTAATAAAGTAAACTGAAATGGCAGACATTATTTCAGTCACAAATTGTTTCATTCTTTTGTTTCAACAAGTCTGAAAATCAACAGCAGTTTGTTGTTGTTGTTTTTTCTCCCAAAGGGTGTGATGTGTTATCAGTTCTGTGATATGATATTATTTTCTTTGATTAAAAGACTTATGCAAAAATCCTCTCCGCACTGTCAGTTTTGGGGCAATAAAACACAGCATATAATGACAACACTATATAGTGGCTTAACAAGCAGGAGCAGGCACAAAGGAAATGAGATTTCATCTGAATCAAATGATCAAATTAAATGAGGGGAGATGACACAAAACATCACATAACAGTAAGATTGCACAGCCTCTAAGGGGCATTTTCATTTGGTATACAACACACAAAAGAACAGAATCAAATTAATAAATAATAGTTCAAAGGCTATTTCTTTTGCTTAAAAATGTGTTATGGCTGATCCCCATTAAATCTACCATGAATAAAGAGTGTGCACGCTACTGAAAGACTTATGGCATAGCATGTGTAAATGTACTGCTCCTATTCCTTCTCATTGCCTTTGAAAACATTACACTGCTTCCCTGCCGTCACACCAGGAGTTTCCTCTTCATGGTCAGTCTGTAAATGATTTGGTAGCCATCGTCCCAGGCGTAGAGCTGTTTTTCCTCTGGGTTGTATTTCAGACTGGCGTGGGCTCCGTACCTCCTGGGAAAGTAGATCAGGGGAGCCTCCTCGCTGATGACCATGTCGTTGACGTCAAAAAGGCACTGGATTCGAGACCGGCTGGCCAGGCGTGTGTTGTAAACGACATAGACAGTCCCACAGACTACGAAAGCCGCCTCTGCGTTCTCCCTTGGGCACCGGGTGTCCCAGATTTGTTCTATATCGAGTGAGTCGCGGTCCATCTTCGCAAGGTGGATGTTCGGTTCACTGTCGCTGGTTGCGTACAATAGCCAGAGGCCTTCGTCATCTGCTGCTAGATCTGCAACAGTTTCTGGGTTGAGGTTGTAAACAGTAGCGTGGCTCTCCACGGGGAACATGGCGGCGTCTGTCACCGAGCCACTCAGCAGGTCATATTTGATCACCTGCATGTCCGTATCATCCTCCTGCTGTATGTAGTACAAATAGCCGTCGTAGACGGTGCTGCCAGGACCTCTCCAATCAGAGGGAAGCCTGATCTGTCGGCTGCTGGTGACGCCAGGAGAGCGGGAAAAGTTTTGTACGGAGTTGAACTGGTCGATGTTGTCCCCTGATGTCCCGTTAAAGACATAAACCTTGGACGACCTGGGGTCTCTGGTCCACATGCCCTTGGGACTGCCCACTCTCTTTAGGATCTTCACTGATCTGATGCCAGAGATGATTTCCACACAGTCTGCAATGAGAGAAAACACAAAGACAATATTGTTGTGCTTAAAAGACTGTTTGCTGTATTTGCTACGCCTATCAAGCTTTCCAATATTCACATAACTCACACATATGAGAATAATGAATGAAAGCAAATTAGCTGGTGGAAAAGCTGGTTGAAACCGCTGACTGACGTTTTTAATGTAACTGTTAATGGTCGTAAATATGCCATTAATAACTACATACATGATATTGTGCTGAATGAAATTGGTCTCAAGCTACAATTGGAAAGTCAGACGGTTTTGTCAAACGGTCAGTTCAGATCAATACCCAGTGATTTTGTTTCACATTAATGTCACAAAACGTGTCAAATAACCAAAACAGTTTTTACTTTGGCGGAAACTTTTGTTCATGTAGCACCACATTGCTAATAGTAAGAAGTGTTCGAGGTTAAATGTATGAGATTGGGAGCATTTCTAATACCTCTCAACGGCTGTTTCCTGACGCGTCGACTCTCAGGAGTTTTGCAAAGGGTCACAAACAGTATAGTCTCCTGGACGAAAGTCCTGTGTTTGTTTGACCCATTCACCTCCCCTCTCATATACCCCGTGTGGCATCTCGCTGTTCATACTAGTAAGTTGCTCCGACTGTATAATTATCACGTGGGTGGGTTTACATTGGAGTAAGTTGAAAGCCCACCGCATTGTAGAGACTGCAATGCGTTGGCATTAGACGCCAAGGGGCACTGACCGACCAACCGTTGGTATTTGACAAGTTGGGAGTGAGACCGGGTCGTCTTTATATAGACAATATTGTTTGAAAAAAACGTATTCTAGTGGGAGACTTCTGTCACAATTAGCTCCACTATGAATCAACGTGCGATGACACTTAGGTTGTAAACTCATGTTGCCAATCAATATCAAGTTCACAGTTAGTTCCATTGGGATATTAGTGCCATTCCTAAGATGAAATATGTATTTTGCAACCTACAGTAACATTTGGAAAACATCAAGCAGCCTGCAGCAGTCACTATCTGGCTTTCCAAATTAAGGCAAAAAAACAGTCAGGGGGATATTGGACACAGACTTATGAGAGGAGGAATGAGTGCAGCATACAGACAGCAGGAAGATGCTTCCTGTAAAAAGGAAGAGTAATACAATACTTTCACTAAAAAGCACAAAAAAGGATGTTCCCTCCCTCCCCCCGATGTTTCCTGGAGCGAAATGAACACTGTACTCACAAATCTGAAATGGGTCGCTACAATGCGGTAAAGTTCGTTTTTGGTCACTTGACAGACATTTACAATGGTTCACTGTGTTCAGAGCGAACATGAGCTCGGAGAGTAACGCCGCTGACCTGAGGGCAGCTTCCTGTCCCTCCTCTCTGCAGAGACAGCTTCAGATTGCACAGGAGATTTTACACACAGAGACTAATAGAGAAGCCTTTGCTCTGCATTGCACCATCATCCACTTTGAATGAGAGAACTCTGCCTTGATTTTGTAGAGCATGACTGGCATGATTCTGAGCAGATAGTTTATGATATTACTAGATAATTCTTGAATGTATGTGTTGTTGATTGTCTTAAGTCAGCGCAAATAATGAGTAAATCTATATTTGTTTTCATTTGGTTTTGCAAGAAGAGTCTGTATAAATGGTACCAAAGGAATTTAATGATCCATCATCAGGGATTTTACCAATTCAAAATATAGATCTTTTGCTTGAAGGAGCCAAATGGGATATTCATAGCATGTCAATTGCCTCTCAATGTCAGTAGACATGGAGGATGGGCATCAGCTGTAACCAAAGTATGCATGAGCGCAGTGCAGCAGAGCGGCAGCCATGAGCTAGCCTATTGAGCACGCTCCCAGTCGGCCGGCCCGGCCATGTAATCAAAGCACAGAGAAGCTCTGATTACAACACACACATCGGGAGAAAAACTTCATTCTCTGCTCAGCTTACTCATGTGTATATTTACATAGCAAACAGTTGCTTGCTGCTATATTAATGCTCTGAATATCATATGCAGAACGTTTAATGTGCATATTCAGTGAAATCTGATGATATAAAGTCTGTTTTGTGGAATTAAAAAAATGTGTGTTTCACAACTTTCCACATCACGCTTTAAAAAAGGGTTAAAAGTCCCCGTATTAAACAGAGCAAATGACCGTCTCAGCATTGTTTGTAGCAGCACGCCTTGGGATCTGAGGATTATAAAGACGAATGCTGTGCTCAAACAGCGCATGCAGGGGAGTACTCTGCTGAAATAAATGAGTTGCATCAAGCCACATTTCTCCTGGAAAACATTCTGCCCACTGACGTTAAATGACTTGTAACAGCACTGTGCTTGTTTCCCATTTTCCAGAGGCATTGCTTTTCCAAGACAGCGACTCAGAAGGGGTGGTTTAAAGCCTGATGCGAACACACACACAGACATACAGTATATATATATATATATATATATACACAGTACATATTATATATCTCTTAGGTTCTGACTGTGCCAGGGCTCTGTCATGAATACAAATTAAAGATCAAACACAGCCATCCCATGGAGAACGTTTGGCATAAGTGTGTATGTACATCCCTGCAGCTCACCAGAGACTCTGGAGTGCACCTCCTCCCAGTCTTCTTCCTCCTCTTCCACTCCTCTGCTCTCCTGTAGGCTCCAGGTTCCCTGCTCCAGCACCTTGTCTGCCTTATTCACACAAGCCCGAGGGGTAGTCTGGGTCTCCACGTAGTCCATCTCTCCCTCCACCCGGTCCACTCGGAGTGCAGCTCCTTCCATGTCTTTGAACATCATGCTGTGCTGATTTCTCAGACCATCCATGGCCTCAGCAGTCAGCTTTTTGAAATCCAGCTGCTCTGTGTGGTAGCGATGGGATTGCTCATGCCACAACTGCATGCGGTCCTACCAGACGAGAGCAGAGCAACACAAGTGTTGTAAAAACGTGTTAATAAACTGAATATAGAATAAACTGTAGGATGAGTTTTTTTCCTAGTTTTCACTCAAACTACCAGCTGTCCTGACCAGTAATACAAGTAAAGGCATATGGCCATGGTTGCAGTTCTGTGAGGTTGTAGAGTGGTACTTTGAGCTAAATAGCATGCTAACAGTCACAATAACAATGCTAACAGGCTGATATTTTGCTGGTACAATGTTTACTGTGTTCAGCATCTTACTTTAGTGTTCTAGCATTCTCATATTTGCCAATTAGCACTAAACACAAAAGCTGAGGCTGATGGTAATGTCATTAATTGGGCAGGCATTTCGTATAAAACCAAAATATCACTTTACACTGATTCAAATTTGAACCCGATGATGATGCTGTATAAGAAGTCAGAGAATCACCAACGTAATTCCAAATCATCCAGAGGGGAACATAAATGTGTGTACCACTAAATAAAAAGTCAGAGGATCACTAAAGACAGTAGGATTCAACCTCTGGGGACCATGAATTTCTGTAAGAAAAGAAAAAAGACAATCCATCTTGTAGTATTTGCGATAAATCTGTCAGGCTGAAATATGAATTTTCATGAAATCTCTTTTTCACATTTGTGATCCCCAGGGGCATCAGAGCTTTGATTTTTCCAGGGACCTATCTCAACATCTAGATGGATTGACACAAAAGTTTGACAGACATTCGTAGTCACCAGAAGATGTAGCCTATCCTAAAGACCCACTGTACACTACCTGCTCAGTACCAAACAGCAGACACACACTGTTAGCGACTAGCTGAACATAAGCTAAAGAGACAAATCTTACCCACAGAAGTTGGTTGAGACCAAAAGCAGAGCTAAAAGAAAGTGACTCTAAAGGAATGAGGTTCTTTATCTGTAAATACCTAACAGTTTGCTAACAAGTTCCTTTATATCTACTTAAGAGGTGACGATATGTCCATATTGTGTTCGCAGCTCGCTGGCCGAAAAATCAATTACACAAATAATGATCAGGCATAACTGTACATTGTGTTTAGTGGTGAAGTCTAACGACCAAACATTAGCATGTTAACACGCCAAACCAAGATTGTAAACTTGATGAACAACTGGTTGCAAAACAAAAGACGTGAGGAGAGAGGAGTCGAGGCAAGAGGCATTTAACAAAATGGGCATTCTTGCCTCAGTCACTTAAATCTGACATGTGGCACGGGTGCCGAATAGACTTCAGTGTATCCTCGCTTATGGCTTCTCCAGCAAGCCTCTTCGCTCTTCGAGATGCATTTTAGGAATTTTGACATCCTTCAAGTTGAAGTGCTGGGAGATCGAATTCCGGGTCACAAACCGGAGGATCAAGGAGAAAGGAGGTGCAAAATCGGGAAATGAGAATATCCTTTCGTTTTGTTACAAAGCATTATCACTATCAGCAAATAGAAGACGGTTTCACAGCGTGTGAATGACACAGTCATAGTGACGGATAAATTATTTAGAGCAAGATTTAATAACAGACGGCCTTCTCCGCTGTCTCCTCCGCAACAGATTCATTTTCTCCCTTTGCTCGCTGTGGGCCTGTGGTCAAATGGAAATGAAAGTTCAATGACAAGTTATTTGATGAATTGCTGTGTTCATATCAATGCAGAAGTTGAACCAGCATATTGGAATTGAGACTGGAGGGAAACCACAGGGGGTTGAAGAGAACAGGATTTAGCTGTAAATAGACTATTCATTTCATGCAGATAACAGCTTTAAGATTGTCATTTCTGCATTACAGCCGCACGGAGAATGAAAAGAAAAAATTCTGACTCTCAAAATATACACCAAAAGAATACATTAAAATAATTATTTAAATGACAGTTCACTGAAATTACAAACCAGACATGTAATCCTGCATTTCATATCATACGCCAACAAAAGTCTTACACACAATTTGCTGTCTCATAACCTCCCTTTAAAAACACAATACTGAACTCTCAGCAATTTGATTCCTTCCCTGAGGCACTTTGTTGTAACACAGCATCATTCTACCTTTCCATTAGAAAGGTGGGATGTTTCACACGTTGGCAGCAATGGTTGAGCTTGTTCTCATTACTGCTGTGTCATTGTTTTGAAACACTGAAGAAACTAATGGTGTTGGACAGAAGCTGCATGCTACATGCTTCGACTGATATTCTCTCAGAGGCCCCTGCAAAGTTGATGAGCTCGACAGAGATCGCATTAATTGAACTGCCTTAGTTGAAAAATTTGATTCACATAAAAGGACGTAGTCAGGAACTTGTATTTCTAATTTCTAATGAATGTTTGTTCAGACATGACTGAGCGCGTCAAATTAACAAACATACTATCTCTGCATATTGTACATATTTTTTATAGTTAATACTGTGAACATTTGTCATTTTTGTCTCGTTCATATGTGATTGTTTTGCAGTATTTGTTTTTATAATTGTTCTCTCACTATTATGCAACAAAGATAGCGAGGGAAATTGTATGCGAAAGCCTACTCGGCAATACAACCTTATTTTGATTCAGGGATATCTTTGCTGTCACTTAATTCGTGGAAAACTATATATTGATTGATTGTTAGTCATTTAAAGGGGTATTGCTTCTTACCTCCATAGCCAACAACCTGTTCTCCAGATAATCCATCAGCCCCTGGTAGTAATACTGGGCTCCAGTCAAAGTCCAGGCAGTGGAAACAAGGAGGACAAACACCGGCTTCATTGTAAGCCGATCAATGGGGACAGCTGAGTTTCTTCGTCCAGAGTTTAGATGCTTCTTTAGGTTTTCCCTCCCAGAACTGTCCTCAGAGCTTCACACAACCTATAAACACGTTGAATACAGTATAAGTACATGTACGAAGACGTGAGAAGGGTAGAGTGCAAGTAAGAGGCCACCCTGAGAGTTCTCAATTCTTTGACCGCTCTCACTTTGCTGGAATGTTTTCACAAACTCTCAGGGAGGAGCCTTGTGCCTCTTACCCCTCTATGTCCTCAAAAAGTGAATGTGCTTGCTCCACTCAACTCTGTGCATGTGTGCAGGTTGGTGTTTGTTGCACATTTTGTACAGTCTGTCTCAGGCATATAAACAGGGATTATATAGACAGAACATAACTAAACAGCTCTGTCGACTGTTACTTCTCACAAAGTTTAAATGAACTCAATAACTGCAGGGATACAGTCTGGATACTGCAATGAAATTAGTTATGGTGCCTGTCAAGGCCGGTTAAGTACAGGCAACAGAGTGAGGAGGACTCAAACGCAGACAGAAGAGCAGACAGCAACAGTTCAGGGATTTATTGAAGGCATGATAGAGTAAGCTTACTGGCAAGCCCAAACAGAGTTGTAAAGAGTCCACAGGATAGCAGGAAAGGGGCAGGGGAAAGTTCTGGCAGGTGTGCAGGGCCGTCCAGATCCAGATAGAGACACAGGTTGCACATTTCCGGTTGCAAGGTTCGGAGGCTGGCTGGCAAGGGATGTGCAACTTTGAAATTGGAAACAGGCGGGCGGGGAAGTCAGGAAAAGTCCAGGCCTCTAGTGGACAGGTAGAGAATGGCAATGAACGGGTCTGGGGCATTGGGAAAAGGGCAAACACAACAAACTTCATTGTGTTATTTTGGACAACATAGAGTACAAAGTGTTACAACCCCAGGTCATATAGTGACATTGTGTTTTGTGTATTATGTGCTTCAACCTCACCCACCTCTCTCTGGTGAACCTGCTGTGGTAGCTCTGTGTAAATGGCTGCAGGTGAGTCTCTCCGATCGAAAGTCGTTTATTTTTCTGTCAGAGTTTCCAGTCCTTCACGCTGTATGTTAGGAAGTTAAAAGACAAAGTAACAGAGTCACAGTACTTCCTTTGCTGCTGACAAGGCCAGTAGAGTACAAACAACATACAAAAAAGATGAAAAGATCATCATCATCATCGCAATGGAACAAAACCACACAACAAGGTAATGAAAGGCGATTGAATCGATCGAGAAGATGTAAGAGAGGGAAAGGTTCAAAAATGCTATTCTATTAATTAAGAAAATGAAAGAAAACTGTTGTACTTGTACCAAACTGCACCTATTTAAAAGCTAAGGGAAAACATTTGCAGTGTCAAATTTGTTCCATTAAACAAGAGTCAGACATCTGGCTTCACCAGTGCCCACGGTTGATCCGCCTTATTGGTTTCGAACATACAGCCCCCCTCGCACATTGGCAGCTAGAATTGATCAATAACACTTCATTGCTTCTCGGAAGGAGATTGCTTTTCTCTGATGCGAGTGAACGGCGTATACTGTAGATTATGCTCAGTGCAGGGCCAGTAGTGCATGAGGGTTTGATTACACAGGCGATCACACTTACTGACAACACCTGACTTTTCAACCCAGGGGCAGTTAGAAATTTTTTTAATTGACTCCATATAGCCCACAGACATGAGCAGATTATAATTCTATAGGCCCCTGGACGCAGGCATGTAAAAGCCCACCCACCTGTCCTACATAGGAGCGAGACACTCAGACTTAAAGACACACACAACGATTACAATTGATGCAGCAGCATTTAGCGTCTCTATTTAGAGATGTTGTGTCTCCTTTAGACGTTTTGCGTCTCTTTGTGGCCGTTTTGTCTCTCTTTTTCGTCTCTTTTGTTTTGTCCAAAACTATGGTCTTTCTATTGTTTTTTTATTTTGAAAGTTGACATGTGTATTTAAGCTTATTATGCATGAGTGTATGTATGATCTATGTTCCATGGGACCATGGGGATTGTGATGCAGCTGCTTAGAGCATGAATAATTGTTCCCTGTGGGACAATAAATTATACCTTATCTTGTCTTATCTTTGTGGTCATTTTGCATCTCTTTGTGGCTGTTAAGTGTCTCTTTGCTGTCGCTTTACATCTCTTTAAGTTCCTTCTACGTCTCTTTCTATTTGTTTTGAGTCTCTTTTTGGTCGTTTTGAATCTCTTTGTGGTTGTAAACAGTCACTTAATGCAGAGGCTCTGGTCCAGGAGCTCCTGGTAGATCTGTTCACTACCTTCTGACTATAGGTTGGTTGGGTTGTCGCCCCTCTAGCCCCACCCCTGTTTCTACCCCTGTCACAACAGATCAAACTATAGACCGTGAAGGTTGTTTTCAGGAAACAAACCACAAAGTCGGAGAAGTTGGGGTTCAAGGCTCGCAGCTTGTTGCTGTATCATCATAGTTTGATTAAGGGCCGGTGCCAGGTCCTCCAGCAGCCCAATGGCTGAGGTCTAATCATTCTTTTCTTTGATTGTCTGCTGGCCAGTATCATCTCATAGTCCTGGACTGAATCACAACCCCCCCTGTCTATTTGTATGCCAACAGACAGCAGACCAGACCGGACTGTGAGTGTCGTCATGGTAACAAAGTGTCATACAGCTGCTTTTAGAAATCAAAATGGGCAACCTGGAGTTTGATCTGATCTGGAACACATTGCCTGTCTGGAGCTGGCAGGTGAGAGCATTGACAATTCTGGCTGTAAAACTGTGTGTTTATGAGTGTGTGTGTGTGTGTGTGTGTGTGTGTGTG